CTACGTAAGATGTTAATCACTTTGAAGGAATTCTGAGCTACAAAAATCTGAGCATTTATAAAAAGGGGTTAATTTGTGTAAGTATATCTTGGAAAGGAGGTTGTTTGTAAGATTTGTCATATTTTAAACAGTGAGTTCCTGTCTATATAAACGTGATTTATTTATAGTCTTATCTGTGAGCTTTTGAGGGCCATATAGTACACGAGCTACTAGAATCATAATGTTAGCTTTGACAGAGCATTGGAAAAATGATGGGATCAATGAAAAGGGAGAGTAGGTGTGCGGGGGTTTCATGACGCTGTACTCACTACACAGAAGAAACCGAAGTGCTCAGAAGGTCGTTAGCTTGTTCAAAGTCATTGGATGTAAGCAGCTAACCAGAAGATAAATCCATGTATGTCTAGTGTTAGGCTTATTAGCTTCTATACTTGATAGGAAACTAAGAAGGTGTTATTGTTGGTGTTTAGCAAGTTTCTTTAGTAAATATAAAATGAACAGATCTTGGCATAACTATTCTTATAAAGCAACTCATTCATACTAACTCTTTAAAATGTTTTCCTGAATTTAAGGGGAAAATTATCATGTTTATTAATTTACTTAGAAAAGCTTTGCTTCTTCCTATTGTAGATATTTATGTCAAAAGAAATTTTATATTGTGGGGTTGGGAGCTGTGTGGCAGAGTAATTTACTAGCATGCTGGAGATTCTGGGTTCAATCCTCAACACCAACACAAAAAAACAAAAAAACAAAAAACAACAAAAAAAAAAACAAGGAAAAGAATTTTATATTTTACAAAAACAAAATCTTTTTTGTTGTTTTTGATTTTTTAAATAAAATGTTTAATAAAATTTTATAAAAACGACTTCATAACAATAATTTATGCTTTCTGTAAAAGTTTAACACCTGTTTTTCTAAAATATCAGCTTAACATAAAGCAAACCCAAATTTTAAGCATTGCAAAAACCCTTTTTATTTGCTTTGTGGAATACTGACAGTAAAGCATTCTAGGTCTGTACCTGGAGCCTGGGTTCAGTCATAATTTGGAAACACCTCATATCTCATCTCTCCTTATAATGATCTCCTGAATACCTGAATATATCTCTGTATACATTCCTAGGTGTTTGCCTAAAAAATAAAAGTTGATTATATTATAGACTGATCTTTAAAATGAGTTACTAAATAATTCTTTATTAAACTTTTATCACAAACAGGTCAAATGTTATCATAAGTAGCAGTATCCCAAAAGATTAATGATAGAAAAAGGAGGAGAGGGCAGAGAAAATACCAGAGTAGGTGTATATGTAGTAGGGGCCGGGTGTGTTTGCCTAAAAAATAAAAGTTGATTATATTATAGACTGATCTTTAAAATGAGTTACTAAATAATTCTTTATTAAACTTTTATCACAAACAGGTCAAATGTTATCATAAGTAGCAGTATCCCAAAAGATTAATGATAGAAAAAGGAGGAGAGGGCAGAGAAAATACCAGAGTAGGTGTATATGTAGTAGGGGCCGGGTTATGGGTTTGTTTATTTAATTTTGGGCAGTACTTAGGATTGAACCCAAGTGTTTTACCACTGGACTACATTCAACTCTCTTTTTATTTTGAGAAAGACTGCTGGCCTTGCCTTCACTCTATAGCTAAGCTTGTGGTCTTCTGCCTCAGCCTCTAGAATAGTTAAGATATGGACCTGTGCCATAGGAACAACTGGAATTGCTTTTAAAACTTAACTTCCAGGGCCTGTAGAGATGGCTCAGCAAGTTAAGAGCATTGGCTGCTCTTGCACAACAATTGGGATTGGTTTCCAGCACCCACACCAACCATCTTTAACTCCAGTCCCAGGGATTCTAATACCCCATTCTTGCCTCCATGGTGCACATACATACATGGAGGCAAACACTCTTACACGTAAAATAAAAAATAAATTTTTATGCCAGGTGTGGTGATGCACACCTTTAATCCCAGCACCAGGGAAGCAGAGGCAGGCGGATCCCTGTGAGTTCCAGGCCAGCCTGGTCTACATAGTGAGTTCCAGGACAGCTGGGGCTACAGGGAGACCCTGTCTCAAAGAGACCAAAAAAAAAAAAAAAGCTTTCGTTTTGCGGGGTGAAGAGATGGCTCAGCAGTTAAGCGTGCTGACTGCTCTTCCAGAGGGCCCCTGTTCAATTTCCCAGTGCCCACATGGCAACTAGCAAAACTGTCCATAACTCCAGTTTCAGGGGAATTTGACACCTCCTGACCTCTGTGGGCATTGCATGACACAGGTGCACTTACATACCTGAAGGCAATACACTCATACAGAAAAAATTAAAAAAACTAATAAATTAAATATATGAATTAAAATAAAAAAAAAACTCGAGTTTCAGAGATTTTTTGTTTATAGCTAAATGACTTTGTTCACCACAGCACTTTTTAAATAACTTCATGTCACCCCCTGGTGCCTGGCCTTAGATTTCAGCCATAGGAACCATGGAGCTGAGTTGTGCTTTTCAGAGTCTGGCCTTTTCCTGTTTCTCCCTTTCCATAACCTTGACTCATACTTATTCTCAATAAAATTTAGTAATTGTGATTTTATCCCAATTTAGGGCAAAAGATTTTATGGTGTCTTAAACATTTCTAATATAAAAATATTTTAATTACTCCTAAATTATGTATTCGTTTACTTTGTTTATAAATCACATCAATATCTCATGTTATTCTCCAAGAAACACAAATGGTGAGGCAAGGAGTTAGAAACTAGTTTGGGGACTGGGATATAGCCCAGTAGTGGAGGATTTGCCTAACATTAGCACAGATTTCTTTCCCAGCACTTGAGGGGTATATATATTTCTTTTCCTGTTACTTATTAACACCTATCCCAGCGACTTCTGGGGTAGTAAAGGTTGCATCTTGAATTGGGGATGTGTTACTCGTCTTTATGTTCCCTGCCTGTAGCTGAGAGACAGACATGTAATGAATGCTTGTTAAATAGAACAGAATTATTAAGAGCAAAACTGTTTCTCTTTCAGTCTAAAGACTGTTGCTGTGGACTTAGTATTACCATTTAGCTCTGATGCTGAGGGGATAAGCAGGCATAGATGAATCCACAGTGGTATTTAAAAGCTGGGCCAGGGCTCACCTTTGGAAGGTGGTGCTCTGATAGTTCCTGGCCCTCTCCACATGGTGAATATGCAGACAGGAAAGGTGACCAAGGAATAGATGTCAAAGAGAGGAGTTCTATGACTCTTGAATAATCATTTAGTGAGGACAAATCCGTTAGATGTTTATAACTTTAAAATTCAATGTGGCACATGTCAGTCTGGGTCTTATTTGTAAATGATTATCACTAGAAATCAGTTTATTCTATAATTAGACATATAAGTGCTAAATTTAAAAGTTCCTACCTATCTAGCCAGTCCTTACAGAGAAATTGTTATTCTCCTAAACTGTGTATAGTTCACAGTATCTTCAGTGATCAGTGTAGGAGAAAAACACTCTGATAGGTAATATTTGCCTATCAGATCAGAGTTTCATTCACTACTTCTCAGAGTTCTGCAACACAGGGTTTTTTACTTATTTGGCATCCAGTTGTATACTGCTTAATAAATTCATGTTTAAGTTTGTATGCCTTGTATCCCATAAAGTTAAACAATACTACTTAACAAATTGCATGCCATATTATTAAGCCTCATGCATGTAGGATAGGGGCTGGTGGCATCTTAGACAGAGCCAGAACTGAATGAATGTGAGCTGTGAGTACATTTTGCCTGCTGGAAACTTTGAGGTATTGAAACTTATTGATCCGAACCTGACGATCTCTCTTGTGAAGCTTAACTATGGAAAAGCATTACATTTTGGAGAGGGAGGAAGGATAAGAATCAAAGGAGAGAGAGGATTGTTTCTAAGGCAAACCCTTGTTAGATTTTATTAGCTAAATATGATTAGTATGCAGGCAGGAAAGAGAGACTGCAATCAGTGTTTTAATATACCAATTTTCATTTTGAAATATATCACTAACCAAATAGTATCAGTATACTGTAGATAAATTTAGTTTCATTTTATTAATTCAAAAGAACCAGTTGAGCATTGTGGTGTATGCTTTCACTCCCAGCAGTGGGCAGTCAGAGGTAGATATATTTCTGTAAATTCAAGGCCAGCCTAGTTTGCTTAGTTACTTCCAGGCCAGCAAGGACCACATAGTGAGAAACTGTTGTGGGCTTGGGGAGAACAGGAGAGAGAGTAAGAACTGCTAAGAGTGCAGGATTCTTGGCTGGCAGTGTTTTCTTAGTCTTGCTAAATGATCAGCATATAATGGAAGAAAAGGGGCCCAGTAAATGTTCACTGAATGAGTGATGCATTTTCTTACATCTTGAGGGGTGGTGGAGACACTTGAGGAATCTTAGTGAATCTGTTTAAGAGGCTATTTATATCTAAACATGAGCCAAATAGCTAGTTTTGTGTGTGAGTGTAGGTAAGTGAATGTTGTCCATAGAACTCTCTTAAATCCCAAGTCCTTAGATGGAATTTTCTCTTTTTTTCATAGAACCTAATACAGTTATTTGTATGACAGGATGATCATTGCTTTCCAGATGCTTGCTTTAAAAACAAAACCATTTAAAAATATTATCTGAGCATTGAAAAACCATATCTATCTAAACTATTTCTTGCTACAAAGTTTCATTGATTGGTGATTACTAACAAATAGTAGAAGACAAATTTACTTATTTGTTACTTGAAAATTGTAGCTTACTAAATTAAATGCTTACCTCTTTGTCTTAAATCACTAAACCCACCTATGTAAACATTGAATTTAATATTATTAAGGTTCGTTGTATTCTTTAAAGGTTTGATTTGAATAAATAGGACATTATTAAATACTTTTTGAATTTGCAAGTTGACGGGTTTTTTCTAATGGCATTTTTGGCTCAGTGGCCTGGAATAGGATGTATCACCATTTTAAAGCATCTTCTTGAAGTTGTTGATTCACATTATAGACCCCATTCTTTCTGCTCCTTCCGTAGCTCCCTGCAGATTTCACGAAACTGCACCTTACTGACAGCCTGCACCCACAGGTGACCCACGTTTCCTCCAGCCACTCAGGATGTAGCATCACCAGCGACTCTGGGAGCAGCAGCCTTTCTGATATCTACCAGGTAACACCAGGCTTTCTCATTTTTGCTTCATTTTCATCTGTCCCAGGGAGTCTGAAGATTCTCAGTTGTATAAAGCCATGAAGCAAAATATGTGTCCATATGTTATGCATGCATGTTACACGTAGAATGTATTCTTTATGCTTCACATGGACATGCGGCATGTTGGGTGTTTGTTTTAGGAAGTACTACTGTTGAGTTGTACTTGCTCCTCTGTTACCAGTTGCCAAAATTTATTTAAATAGAGTGGTTGCGATGGAGTTTTTTCCCTTTTTTTTAAATCTTTTATTCATTTGTTTATAGACTGTGAAGGTATATGAGTCTTAGTTGCCCCCTTCCAAAAAAGGCAGAATTATCCTTCTATGGTAATGTCAATGCAAAACAAACAAACCCATGATTTTCACCTCAAAGAGGATAAAAAGATAGTGTATTTTGAACCCAGATATGAGTGACCATGGTCCAGGAACACAGATTCAGGTTACCCAAAATTCCATGTTCCAACATGGTAACAGTTTCATGAAGTTTTATAGTAACAAAACAAAGAAAATCATAAACCAAGACAGTTTTCAAATACATTGGTAGAAACATCAGGTAGGCAGATTTCAGAAAAAAAGCAGATAAATCTCAGTGATAGGTCTCAGATACATTTGATGACATTCTTAGCCTTTTGGTCGATGGAAGCTAGGGGTCTGTTTATACATTCCAAAGGATTGACCTAATGGCCACAAAAAATACTAGACCACATCTAGAAGTGGGTAATAACTGGCTGTTAGGAGGGCTAAATGTAGCCTAAGACCATTTGGCTCTGGATTTGTAACATTCCAACTTCTCTACATCTTTGAAGTTCTGATCAGTTAATCATCATTGTAGAAGGTTCAGTGTAGGGTAAGGTTCTTTCCAGGAACAGTCATTTAAAGTGTCCCCTGTTGGCCAGGCGTCACATTTTGTACATGTATGGGATCAAATATGAATTTTTTTTTATTTTTTATTTTAAATTTTTTTTTTTTTACATTTTTTGAGACAGGGTCTCCCTGTAGCCCCAGCTGTCCTGGAACTCACTATGCAGACCAGGCTGGCCTT